GTTTAGGTTATCTCTGGGTTACGTTTTAGGAGCCGGTTCCTAAACATGAGTTTCTTAAAAAAAAAAACGGGGGGGGGGGGGGGCGCCTCGCGAATGTTTTGCACGTGAGGACAGCACGGGAGAGCTCTAGTTACGCCTGGATCTCGCTTGAATGATGCCAGGGGCCCTGACGCCTTGTTGCTCCGGAAATGCCAGCACTTACTTCTGACATTCTGCCTCGTCAGTCTCTGGGATGGTTTGTTTCAGCCGTTTTGCGGCCAGCACGCCCTCTCGCCTGCAATTATCTATTATGTCTTATATATGCTCGTCATGTTTCAGCGGAGAGAAAAAAAATGTAACTCAAATATTTGGCTTGCTGGGCTGTTTAGTGGGGTGGGGTAAGGGGGGGGGGGGGGTGGATGGTTTTGGGGTGGGGGGAGTAGAATTTGAAATTTCTAACTTGGTGTTAGCTACTACACGAGACACATATAAGGACACACTTAATTTTACATATATATATATATATATATATATATATATATATATATATATATATATATATATATATATATATATATATATATATATATATATATATATATATATATATATATATATATATGTATATATATATATATATATATATATATATATATATATATATATATATATATATATTTATTTATTTATTTATTTATTTATTTATTTATTTATTTATAATAAATAAATAAATACAAAAATAAATAAATGAAATTATCTATCAATTTATCTATCTCTATCTAGCAATCCATCTCTCTCTATACGTGTGTATATATATATATGTACATGTATATATTAAACTTCCATATACATATATATATACATGTGTGTGTGTGTGTGTGTGTGTGTGTGTGAATATATATATATATATATATATATATATATATATATATATATATATATATATATATATATATATATATATATATATATATATATATATATATATATATATATATATATATAGCCATGGGGAGCGAACTTAAAGAGACGTTGACTTGTGCACAGTTAACCCTTCAACACCTGAACATTAATTACGTCGGTGATTGTTGTTTTCTGTTTAGCCATCACACAGTCACTCGTCAATCAAACCTTCATTACTACCCCGACAGGGGGGAGGGGATTGCATTTCCCGAAACCATTTTTTTTAATTTATTTTTTAAAATTTATTTTTAAAATTATCTAAACGTCGATGTATTATATAGAATTACACCTATCTTATAAAACTGAGTAATTCAGTAGATTACGTTTTGGCTTAAAGTTCAGGTGAAATGTTAAGTGGTGACATTAGGGTTGACCTCAGCCCTAATGTATAATTTGTATTCTTGACTACTGTTACACTGGGCTCCAAAATAAGGGCGTGGTAGGCAAGCTGTATTAGGGGGGGGGGGGGTGGAGGTCGGTGACCTACGTGCTCAGTGCTATATTTTATACATTGTGAATAAATAAATTGGATTTTATTTTTTACGAGTAAAGTTATATTTGTTTATAGAGTTAAACAAATGAAAATATGCAAGTAATTTTAATGCAATTTGCACAAAAGAATCAGTATACCTCATTTGTTAAAACAAATATCCTATAAAAACGTTTTAAAAGTGGGTTTGTATATCTCTACTGTATGGTTTCAAAATTAATCAAATTAATTCTCTTTCTCAGTCGAATAGTTTTAATTTTTTTTTGGATCTACGGTGTGTATCCTTTATGAAAAGCTGCACGTGTTTTTAATGCATTAACCAACAGAGATGTTCCAGTTTTAAAAAGGGGGTGGAAAATATATTTTTCTTTCCAAGTCAGCATAATTTCCAGTTTGAAAATTTGAAAAACTCAACCGGCAAAAAAAGGATATAACGGCTCAACCGCTGATCTTTTTCAATTAAACATTAATTAAATTCCTTGTGACACCATTTGGTTTATTATTTAGATTTTTTAAAAACATTTCATCATGGTAATTAGTGCCAGTTTAGGGTGCGTACGCAGCATAGGACATTCTGTTTAGTTTGGAATTTTTGGCTCAACGAAAAAAAAAAAAAAACAACTGATAAATTATTTTTTTAAACACGCTATTGTGTTGTTGTGTCTTGTAAACTGACCTACCACATTACAAGAATTACAGTTTGATCTGAACCATTGTCGTAAAGTTTGTTGACTGGCTGCTAATTACTGTTTGATCTGAACCATTGTCGAAAAGTTTGTTGACTGGCTGCTAATATTAAGTAAACCACTCACTGAATAACGGAAAGAAAAATTAATCAATTAATGCTTTTCTAGCAAAGACAGATATGCTACATTGTAGTATCGTTCCTCTTTTTCTAATGGCGAAATATACATGTTAATATATAAACAACATCATTATTTTTTGTAAAAAGTAAGTAAAAATTTTTTGGAAAGTGACGGTGAATTGTGTAGGCCAAGTAGAGTTCACCTGTTTCAGTAACTTTGGGATAGTATGCCCCCAAGCTCTACTTATCCTGAATTAGGTACCTATTAAAGCTGAGTTGACTCTTGGAAGTCTTACAAACTCGAGCCTGGGATATATATATATATATATATATATATATATATATATATATATATATATATATATATATATATATATATATATATCGTACATAATCCCTAATTTATTTTTGCTACAATTGTCGAAAAGTATACTGGATGATCTATTACATTTGTTTTTCTAGTCTTTTATATTATTTTTGTTATAATTGTATACCAACAATATATATATATATATATATATATATATATATATATATATATATATATATAACTGTTATGTCCTATATTAGCTATGTTACAAAAGTAACAAATTTAATAGAGATATCTTTAACAATGAGTTCGTAAACTAAAACAGAATACCCTTGCAGCTATCAACCTATTCAGAAACAAAAGACTCGTATGAACAGGGAAGCCAGAAGGGGAGGGCACTACGGTTCGGAAGTAGACAACCGCAGTAATAAATTATAGGATTTCCTCCAGAAATTTACCTTCGAGACTAAACAGTGTTTAGGAAATAGAACAATGGATCGGGACGGGAGGCCGTGTGCCTTTTTTTTGTTTCTTTACTGTGTGCTCTCGTTTACCAGCGTGATCTCGTTTTCCAACGCGAGAGTAGATCTAAAAGCTGAAGAAGAAAAGGTTATCAGTTGATAACATAATTTTATTCGTTTAAAGCGATAATAAGAAATCTTAAAACTGCATGTATACTAAGATACATGCACACATACATTTACACCATATATATAGTATAAATATATGTGTGTATGATGTTTTTAAAATATATATTCAAAATATGTAATTGGCATCAATATTTTAATAAAGGTTTTATTTTAAATGCCATGTTAGAGAATATATATGCTTACATATATTGTGGGTAGGTTGGTAGTGTGGTAGTGTGGGTAGTGTGGTAGTGTGGGTAGGTTGGTAGTGTGGTAGTGTGGGTAGGTTGGTAGTGTGGGTAGGTTGGTAGTGTGGGTAGGTTGGTAGTGTGGCAGTGTGGGTAGGTTGGTAGTGTGGTAGTGTGGGTGCGTTGGTAGTGTTTTAGTGTGGGTAGTGTGGGTCGGTCGGTAGTGTGGGTAATTAAGTAGTGTGTGTAGGTTGTTAGTGTGGGTAGATCGGTAGTGTGGTTAGGTTGGTAGTGTGGGTAGGTCGGTAGTGTGGGTAGGTCTGTAAAGTAAGTAGTTAAGTAGTGTGGGTAGGTTGGTAGTGTGGGTAGGTTGTTAGTGTGATAGTGTGGGTAGGTCAGTAATGTAGTAGTGTGGGTAGTGTGGGTAGGTCGGTAGTGTGGGTTGGTCGGTAGTGTGGGTTGGTCGGTAGTGTGAGTAGTGTGGGTAGGTTGGTAGTGTGGGTTGGTCGGTAGTGTGGGTTGGTCGGTAGTGTGGGTTGGTCGGTAGTGTGGGTTGGTCGGTAGTGTGGGTTGGTCGGTAGTGTGAGTAGTGTGGGTAGGTTGGTAGTGTGGGTTGGTCGGTAGTTTGGGTTGGTCGGTAGTGTGGGTTGGTCGGTAGTGTGAGTAGTGTGGGTAGGTTGGTAGTGTGGGTTGGTCGGTAGTGTGAGTAGTGTGGGTAGGTTGGTAGTGTGGGTAGGTCGGTAGTGTGGGTTGGTCGGTAGTGTGGGTTGGTCGGTAGTGTGAGTAGTGTGGGTAGGTTGGTAGTGTGGGTTGGTCGGTAGTGTGAGTAGTGTGGGTAGGTTGGTAGTGTGGGTAGGTTGGTAGTGTGGGTAGGTTGGTAGTGTGGGTAGTTAAGTAGCGTGGGTAGGTTGGTAGTATATATCAGCAATGTCAGTGGTAGTGTGTTGGCAGTATGTACAGCTTATACTCCGTCCGTGTTTGTATGTGTCACCCACGGGTTGATGAATGTCTGTTTCCACAATACATTATCTGCTCAAACAAATAATTTAATAACCTGCTTGATGGATTACATAGACAAATTGTTGGCATTTTTAAAATTACTGCATAAAAGAATGTAGACATATGTCGAGTAGGTTTTTTTAATACACATTTACATACTCGATCACAAACTTGAGAAGTGGATTTGTATTTATAGTTCATGTTAACGCCGTTTTTTTTTCTTTAATTTTGTCAGCATTGGAAATATTTTTAACCCATAGAATAAGTTACATTAATATATTTTCCCACGTTTTCTTTATACAATGTGTAGGCTCTTAGGTGTCCTATATTTTTCTTAAAGATTTAAGGCATTAGACGGTTTTCTTTAAAGCAGCGCTTCGTAATATTCCTTTTAATAACGAATAAAGGATGTCATTTAATCAGGGGTATTTTCTTGTAGTTTCGTATGCACCCTAATTACAGCAATAGCCAGTTTTTCATCCTCTTTTTTTTTCATTCGTCGCGTTCTTAAATATTACCATCACACATCCATCAAATCTCTCTCGCACTCTTCTGTCCCGCTAAGTTAAAAAAAAAAAAAACCCTATTCGCCAATAACACCGCGTCTTGGCTCGCTTGTAAGGGGAGACTAGCGAGATTTTTAAACCAACCTGTTGTAACTACCCCTCCATGAAAAACCTCGGCAGTTAGCGAACAGTAGAGGTGGAACAAGCGAGGGGTAGGAGAGCCAGTGACACATTGAGTTCAACCATTCGCTGTTCATAGACGGATCGAACGCGTTTGTTTTTCGTCGTTCAAAAAAATAAATTAAAAAAAAAATATGACGTTTTCATTTGGAGTGCGTGTGTTTTAAAGTGGATTTAATTTCAACACAGTTCGCTTGGAGAAAAATAAAGAACGAAAACTCAAGGTACTGGTAGAAGAATTTTTAAGTTTTCGTAAAAATAATGGATTCATAACTTAGATCTAGATCTAGATCTAGATATCTAGATCTAGATAAAGGTTTAGATCAACGAGTGTGCTTTGAGTTACTTTAATTTAAGTGTGCTGTGTACCTAGATCTATCTTTCATTTATGAATATAGAGTCTACCTACTTTATACAATTTAATATACATCTACACTTGTTTACTTTTTAAAATTTCCTTTGGTTCGGGATATGCCGGCAACACTAGAAATCTAGTTCAACTGTATAAATCATAATGCACATTTCTCAGCATATTTTATTATGGCGGCGTTGGGTTATGTTGCATACTGACGTAATGTAGATCTATCTTGTTTTTTTTAAATGTCGCTTTTAAATTATTTCCGTCTTTGTGTTTTAATATATATATATATATATATATATATATATATATATATATATATATATATATATATATATATATATATATATATTACAAAAACATGAAATAATTTTAAACCGACTTTTATACACACATATATATTATATACATATATATATAGAGAGAGAGAGAGAGAGGGAGAGAGAGATAAATAGATATAGCATGAGAAAATATATTTACATATAATATATGTTTGTAACAGACATAAAATAATGCAATGGTCCACTCTCTCATATTCACCTGAGCTCTAAACTTTTGGGGTTTATTTGACCAGCTGTTTGGGAGTGGGATTAACCAGCACATTTGATTGACGTGAAAGACAAAAAGGTATTTTGACAGATGCATTAATTCTGATTTACACAAACACCAACGCCGGCTGTGTTAAAAAATACCACAGCTCTATATCCCAATCTACACTCGACTCGAGTGTATGTATACACATGTGTTTATATGTGTTTATATGAATCATACTAGTTGAAAAAATTACAGTTACCTGTCTAAATTAATATATAATTAAAAAATAATTATTTATAAAAAAAATGTATGATTTTAATTTATTCAGGCAATATAACTAGTCATGTGTGTCGTTTGTTAATAATAATACCATACATACCTAATATAAGTGCTAACTGTATATACAGTTAACCCATCGCCCGTGGCTTGTACTGGGTACGTTTGTTATTTTAGTTAGAAACTTGGGTTACAACGAAATAGAGATAGAAACGAAGCTAAGTTTAGCCAAACGTTGCCCAATCCACGTCACGAAAATAGAATGGAGAAAAACAAACAACGCGTTTAGATTGTCGGTTTCTCATTATTATTACTTAATTTTTAATTGTTGGGCAAAAATAAATAGCCATTTTTTTAAAAACTGTGTAAAATTACTAATATTTCATTTGGTATTTATTTAGGGATGTATTATGAGCAGAGTTTCTTCCAGGCATCTCTTCGGGGGGGGGGGGGGGGGGGCAAAGCCCCCCCGAAAAATTTTTACCGCCCCCCCGAACGAAATGAAATTTATATAATTTATATAGAAAATATATACTTTTAACCGTGTCCGCCCCCCCGAAGAAAGTTTACCGCCCCCCCCGAAGAAAGTTTACCGCCCCCCCTAAGATTTCAAGTGCCCCCCCCCCCGGAGAAAAAAGTCTGGAAGAAACACTGATTATGAGGTGTAAAGTAAAAAAAAAATTAATTAATCAAAGAATAATTACTGTGATTACTTTACTTTACTTTACGTGACAAGTAAAATCTTTACACTGCTATTTTACTAAATTTTTATCATGCTCTCTTTGATAATTATTTAATCAGTTTCATCAACAGTATAACATCTGTATAAATAGAACCTATGTTTTTAATTTTAAACCATTTTAAACCAGGCATCTAGGGAAATATAAAGAACACTCAATCTACTGTTGGGGTGTCATCCCCAACCTCTTCTATCAATTTACCATTTTCGGTTTGGTGTCACCCCTCTCCCTACTATATATTTTTAAAAGCTTTAACTGGGTAAAACATTATTTTGAAATTAAAGTTTACTAAATTTCGCTGAGGTGTCACCCTTCTCCCTACTAATTTTTTTTTTAATTTTAACTGGGTAAAACATTATTTTGTAATTAAATTTTACTAATTTTCAATGAGGTGTCACCCTTCCCCTGAATGGTGTCGTTCGGTACTGTCACCCCCCCCCCCCTCCCCTTTTTTTTTCTTTCTCATCGTGTGACTGTACATATTTGCTGACATAAAATAAATATAAGGATATAATCTTTCTATTAGTGAAGGCCACAGGTTCACGATTAAACCCCTTAAAAATCATGGCTATAAATTATTACACTTGTGTAGGTATTACCATCAGTTGAACTTACGTCGAGACCATTTAACTGAACTTGAAGCAAAACACAATCACACAATCACTCCACATTAGAGCAGACGTTCCCAACGCTCTACACACTGTGACCAGCAAGATCTTAAAGATAAACATCGCTTTAATCCGGTTCCTAGTTCATAAACCTCGAGTAAAGCTCGACTGGTGCCGGAACTACTCTAGCATTCCAAGTCAACTTTTTTGAACGAGTTGTATTCTTCTTTAATATCTTTTTTTTTTCAACTGGTTTGAATCATTCAGAAATAAAAAAAAAAAGCGGTATTCTCATTTGTTTACTTAAAACGGTAACGCATCTGCCTCGATCAATCTAAGAGAGACGGTTTTCTGACGTGCTAGACCTTAGTGGAGTCAGAGTGTGTTGCGTGGAGTCACTAGAGTGGTACTTGGAGTCACGAATCTGTTGCGTGGAGCCACTAGCGTGGTAGGCCTGTTTGGAGTCACACGTCTGGTGCGCGGAGTCACAACTCTAGTGCGTGATGTCACAAACGTGGTACTTGTAGTCACAAATCTAGTGCGAGGAGTCACAAGCGTGGAGCTTAGAGTCACTAGCGTGGTACTAGGAGTCACAAGTCTGTTGCGTGGAGTCACAAGTGTGGAGTCATAAGCGTGCTACGTTGATTCACAAGCGTGGAACTTGGAGTCACGAGTCTGGTGCGTAGAGTCACTAGCGTGGTAGTCACAAGCGTGGAACTTGGAGTCACAAGTCCTGTGCGTGGAGTCACAAGTATGGAGTCATAAGCGTGCTACGTTGATTCACAAGCGTGGAACTTGGAGTCACGAGTCTGTTGCGTAGAGTCACTAGCGTGGTAGTCACAAGCGTGGAACTTGGAGTCACAAGTCTTGTGCGTGGAGTCACAAGTATGGAGTCATAAGCGTGCTACGTTGATTCACAAGCGTGGAACTTGGAGTCACGAGTCTGGTGCTCAGAGTCACTAGCGTGGTAGTCACAAGCGTGGAACTTGGAGTCACGAGTCTGTTGCGTAGAGTCACTAGTGTCGTATGCCTACTTGGAGTCATGAGTCTGTTGCGTAGAGTCACTAGCGTAGTAGTCAGAAGCGTGGAACTTGGAGTCACTAGCGTGTTACTGTGTCACCGATCCAGTACCCCTCCCAAAGTGGTCCCCACTGACGGCTGTACTTGGAGTCACGAGTCAGTTGCGAGGAGTCACTAGCGTGTAGTCACAAGCGTGTTACTGTGTCACCGATCCAATACCCGTCCCAAAGTGGTCTCCACTGACGGATGTACGTGGAGTGCTCATTCATAGCAGACGAGAATTTATTTCAATGGAACGACTTCAAGAGGAGAATCGCGGACAAAACGAAAACATGATATTTTAAACGAAGTTTTGCGTTGTTGGGGGAGGGGGGCGGGGCGAGATCCGGCAGGGTTTTAAGGTGTAGAAAATAGCTCAGATATTCCCTATCTTTTAACACAACGTGGGAAATAGCTTGGAAATTGTGGAAGCTACTGTAGAAATAGCTTTATCTTATTTTATGGCATGTAGCCCCGATATTTTCGAGACTGTAGTAGACTTTGCGCCATCTTTTAAAAATAACTCAACAGACGGTGACTGCCATATTTCTAAACTGTTTCGTTAATTGCTACGTATTTTTTTAAAGATTTTATTATAAAAAGCAACATTTTTTTTTCTTAAACTTGTACTGAGTTATAGATCCCAATCGTGTTCATTCTGAATATAAAAGACGTTTCCTATCAAGTTGCCCCCCTCCCCCATCTCTCTCAACACAACAGGTAATGTTGTGTTTTCCCCCCGTAGAGCTAAAAGCCAAGATCGTTTCTATTACTTTTAACTTAATTAGTCGGAGCTGGCGTGGTGCAGGGGGTAGGGAAGCACACTAGAGGTCGGTGCGGTTGGATGTGGGTTCCAGTGGAGAACCTACTAGAGCACTCCACTCTTCCGCCAGACGTGTAATTTGTACACTTAAACTGCCGTCAGTTCTAATTTTGAAATAACAAACACGCACAAACAAAAACCCCACATTAAATCTATCAGTATTGTTGTTTGAAATTTTTTTTAAATAAAAATAAATACACGTTTGAAAATTGGATTTGACGATGAGAAATGAGATATACTATTTCCTACTTTTGTATTTATCGGGATGTATAAAAAAAAATTTCTGTGCACACACCTACCCAGGTTAGATTAAGAGGAATATTCATGACACGGCAAATACACATTTTACCCCGGGTAATGTTTGCCTAATGTCTTACACCCGGACAGTGGGATGTTGTAGGTGTTTGTACTGTATGATATATTTACAAGATCCCCCCCCCCCCAACCCCACCCCCTCGCGTGGAGCTCTGAGACACATCGTTGTCAGGTGCATTTATTTATGGTTGTAGCGTGTCTGTTGGGCAGGATTCACTGCTCAGTCTGCGACTTTTTTCATGACGGCTACACGCAAAGGTTCCGGCACTGTATTTTCTTAACTCTCTCGACAAGTAGGGATGTAGTGTGCTTGTTTGAGAACACTTCTAGTAGGGATGTAGTGTGCTTGTTTGAGAACACTTCTAGTAGGGATGTAGTGTACTTGTTTGAGAACACTTTTATAAGTAGGGATATAGTGTGCTTGTTTGAGAACACTTCTTAGTAGTAGGGATGTAGTGAGCTTGTTTGAGAACACTTCTAGTAGGGATGTAGTGAGCTTGTTTGAGAACAC